CCGCGCGAGAGTTCGCGGGGCGCGGGCCGCCAGTTTCCTTCGGAAGGCGTTCGGGGAGTTCGACGAGGGGGCTGGGGGCTCCAGTGCAGAGGCGGCGTAGGTCGCGGCGGAGATGTGCTTCGCCGCGTTGCTTCCCGCCTGAGCGCGGCCGCGACGAGTTCGAGACCGGCGGGGTTGTCCGGCGGCTTGGTCCCGCGCCCCAGCAGTTCGCGGGGTTGCCCCGACGGCCTGGCCCGCGAGGTTGCCCCAGCGGCTTCGCGTTCTGGTCTGGCCATCGGGGAGCGCGGCCATGTTGGCCGCGGCGGCGACGGCGCCAAGTGACATCGACTTGTGCGCTTTTGTTAGAGGAGGGGGGGATGAGGTGGATGGGGGAGAAAAAACAGGGGGCGGGAAAAAAAGGCCCCCGCCAAGGCGAAAACGTGCAGGCTGATTGGGAGACGGGGAGGAAGATTTTGCGTTCACGCGGATGACGATGACGTGCACTTCCATGTTCGTTGGGGGTATTCTCATGTGGGGTTTATCGTCGGTGTGATTCGGTCTGCTTCTCATTCCCTCCTTTTGTCTTTCCGCCACGGCCCTGGAGGCTCTTCAACAAAGCTCGCACCCTCTGGATGGGGTTCCCCGAACAGACCAAGAAGGGGCGTCTGCCCGCAAGGCTGTCGCCTTCGGCGACTGATTTCGCAGGCGCACAGAATCGGCCATTCGCGGGGGAGGAGAAGAGGAATGCAGACTGCATGCAAAGGCGCCGTGCATAGATGGCAGAAGGGTGTGTGGCGGGTGCGTGCGGGCGGTCGACCCCGACAGGGGGGGTTCGGGATGTCATTATCTCCATGAGTACATTTGCCATTTGTTTTTCTTTGTTCTCTCTGTCTCTTTTTGTCCCCCGTTTTTTTTTTGTTGTTTTATCTCTCTCTCTCTCTACATTCGTATACACATGTATCCTTTTTTTCCCTGCCTCTCCCTCCCCTTCTCTGTTTCTCTCCCCCTCCCTCCCATCTTTCTCTTGCCATCTACTCTCCCCCTCAAGTCCCCCCTATTGTCCCCTCGCACCCTTTTCATCCGGGCAGCGGCGGCGGTAGAGCGCCCGCTCTCCCCAGGTGTCGGGCTTCGAGCACCGCCTGGTCCTGGAGGTGCTCGGCCTTCCGCGCCCTGCTCGCGCCCCCTTCCGCTCCTGCTGTTATTGTTGGTTTTGCTGCTGCTCCTCCTCCCTCTTGTCCTCTCCCTCCGCCCTCCAGCGCACGCTGTACAACATGCGGCGCACGAGGCAGCTAAAGACAACCCACGCCGGCGCCGATTGGTTCCGCCACGAGCGACGGGAAGGCAACCGGGAGGCGGACTGCTGGGCCACACGCTCCTTCACAGAACACAAGAATGTATTCATGAACGACGTCCCAGCTCACCTGCCCGTCTTCAACGAAGACGAAAGATGAGGTTGCGCCTGAGCTTCGACGGCGGCCTCCGGGGACGCCACGCAGCGTCCGGATTCGTCATCGAGGTCCTCGACCAGAACAGCACCTACAAGGTCCTGATGGCCGGCGGGCGCTATCTAGGTGATTTTTCGGGCCTAGAGTTGGTCACGAATCTTCTGCACAGAGTATGTAGCACGCCCAGTGGTTGTGGCCAAGCGTGACGACTTGTATCTGAAGCGAACACACAGTCGATTTTCCAGCATCAGCCTTAAACGAACTCGTCTTTTCAGGCGGCCGTCCATCCTCCACCTCCTTTTCCCGCTGCTTCCCTGCCCAGGCACCTCATGAATAGAGAGCTCCCTGAACGCACTGGTTCTTCAAACTCTGTTTTTTTCTCACATGGATCTGGGACGAGGAACAATCCGCTCCAGAGCGTTCCAGAACGCTCTCAGAGCCTGTTGGAAACTCTGAGAAGGCCGCGGTGCCCGAGACATCCTCCCAAACCGCCGGATCTCAGAGATTCTCGACCCGACTTTATCCTCGTCGTGGCTTCGTCTTGTTCTGCCGCCAGGGCAGGGAACCAGACCTCCTGGGGCCCTCGGCTCGGGAAACCCATTCACCCGTCTGGCACGACGGCCAGCCTCTCCCCACGTCCTTGGCCTCCCGGAGGCCCGCCTGGAGTCCCGCGGCCGTCAACTCAAAGACGCGGCCCGCGGCGAGAGACTGGTCCGCGTGGAGAAGCGGCACGTGGAGGCGCCGTTCGATGGTGTTCGTAAGGCGGGGGTTATCCCGAGGTGGGGTTCGGGATCGATTCCAGCTGGATGTTCATATCTCCCTCTTTCAGGGGGCGTTTAGAGCGATCCCTCCCCCCCAACACCCCCCTTCCGCCCCTCCCCCACCTTTACGCCCTGGCCGGGCTGTCCGTGCGGAGCGCCGCCCGCCCAGCGGGCGGGCACGCAGAGTGGCCGACCCGTGCGCCATCACGGGAACGACCCCGCGGCAGTCACGGGGGGGGGGGGGCTTGGGGGCCGCGGGAAGGGGGGCGGGAGGTTTCTTCGGACCGCGGGTTGCACACAATCACGGCGTCGGAAGTCTGGGACCGCGCCCTCCGCAGTCCTCTTTATAAGCTTGAGGGCCTTGATGTGTACGGCCGCCTGGCGTGACTGGCAGGGCGCATCCGGGAGCATGTTGCCCCCACGTGGTGGTGGTTGGGGGCCTGTGGGGGCTTCGTGGTGGTGGTTTCTCGGGCTCACGCCGCGCTGCCGACCACTCCAGGCCGACGAAGGAGAGGAGCAGGCGGAGGAACACGGAAGCCGTAGAGTGCCCGCCGCGCTGCGCACCCCGAGGAGCGGGCGGCGCACCCCGAGGAGCGAGGATTTGTGGGATGAGGCCGCTTCCTTGGACTGTTGCGCGCGGTGGCGGAGACGTCCGCCCTGTCGGGGGCTCGGCTCGCCTGCTCGGGGGGCGTTGCGCTCCTCTGCTAGGCGTGCGGTGCTTCGGACGGTAGTGGTGGGGACAGTGGTGGGGACAATGGTGGGAACAGGGGGGACAGTGGACAGTGGTGGGGACGGTGGTGGTGGGGACAGTGGTGTGGGGACAGTTGGAATGAGGTGGAAACAGTGGGACAGTGGAGGGTACAATGGTGGTGGGGACAGTGGTAAAGGCGGTGGCGAGGACGGCGGTGGGACAATGGGACAGAGGTACAGTGGGGACAGTGGTGGGGACAGTGGGGACAGTGGTGGGAACAGTGGGACAGCTCAGTGGGACAGCGGAGGAGTCAGTGGGACAGTGGGGACAGTGGGGATAGGCAGTGGTTGGGTCCGTGGAGACAGTGGGGAGAGTGGAACCGTGGTGGGAACAGTGGTGGGAACAGTGGTGGGAACAGTGGGGACAGTGCGACAGTGGTGGGGGCACTGGTGGGGACAATAGGGACGGTGGTGGAACCAGTGGGGACAGTGGTGGTGAGGACAGTGGTGCTGGGAACAACAGTGGGGGATGTGATGCGAGCGGTGGTAGGGACCGGGAGTCGTTTGCTGGCGGTGCGTGGGGGGGGGGGGTCGAACCGGTAGTGACCCCCCTCCAGTTTTCGAGGGGGGGGGTGGGGTTCCAACCGGTAGTGGCGCCCCCCGGTTTTCCGGATCCGGAGGGGGGGAGGGGGGATTCGAACCGGTAGTGACCCCCCCCCCGGTTTTCGAGGGGGAGGGGGGGGGGGAAGGGTTAGGGGAGGGGGGGGTTTTGCCGGGGGGGAAGGGGGGGGGGTCCAGTAGGGGAGGGGGGATTTTCGGAGGGGGGGGAGACCCCCGGGTTCCGGAGGAAAAGGTTGGCAATTTTCCACAGTAAAGCGGCGGTGGATCACGCTCTCTCGATCTTCGCGAGTCAGTGAATGCGTAAACACGACTTCGGAGCGGAAGGGCGCTCCCTGCAAAATGATAGCGGACGTAACTGTTTCAATCCAATTCCATTCCATTTTGCGTCCATCCTCCTTCATCCTCTCTCCCCCTCTCTCTCTCACCGTTTCTGTTTCCTCTCTCCCTCACCCTTCTATCCGCACTCATCTCCTCATCTCTCTTCTTCTCTTCCTTTGTTCTCTTCGCTCCACGGCGCTTGCTCCCACGGCGCATCGCGTTGTCGTCGTCGTCGTTGCCAGGAAGGTCGCTCCGTGCGGGGCACATCGCACTGCCAGGCGTATGTCCTAGAATCTCGCTGTGCGCATACCCGCTCGCTCCTAGCGAACGTCGCTGTGCAAACGTTCTCGCCAGGAATCTCACTTTTCGCGTACCCGCTCGCTCCCAGTGCAGATCGATCACATTGCCCGCGTTGCAGCTCGCAACCTCCCAATTCAGGCAATTTCGGCAGCCTTCCGATTTTCTCTCCGAGTCAGCGTGCGGGTGGGGCTGGCCAAAGCGACCCAGCCACTGACATCATTATCATGGCCCCAGTTGCTTGTCATCAAGCCATGCCGCGTCAGCCGCGTATCCTCGATATCGTATTGGGTTCTTCTGGGGGTCATGCTGTTTGCGCTGCCGCGGTCGGCGCGGCAAGGTGGCGCAGCACCTGGGAGAGAACATGGTCCGCACCATTGCCATGGACGGCACGGACGGGTTCCCCCTGGCCCCAGCCGCTCGGTGGTCGAGGTTGCAGTCATCGCGGTCGTCGCTGTAGTCGTCGTCGTTTGTCGTCGTCATCGTCGTCGTCGTCGTCGTCTTTGTCGTCGTTGTCGTCGTGAGCGTGGGCGTGGTGGGCGTGGTCGTGGTCGTGGGCGTTGTCGTGGTGGTGGTGGTGGTGGTGCTCGTCGCGGAGTCGTCGCGGAGGGGGGGGCTCCGCACGCACAGGGAGGCGCCCGCGCCCAGGTGGCCGTCCGCGCCGCCCCCTTCCTGGCCTCCAGGGTCGTCACCTCCCTCCCCCTCTCGGGAAGAGGAGGGGCGGGCCGCCACGAAGGAACGTTCGTCCTGAGGGACACTGCTCCTTGAGTATGGTTTTGTTTTGTTTTATTGCGTGTGTGTGTGTGTGTTTTGTTTTATCGGGCCGCTTGCGCGCTCGTCGTTCCCCATCTGGCCTTCTGGTTGGCACACCAGTGGCGGGGAGGGCGCCCAAGAGCTTGCCAGAGGGCTCTGTTCGTTGCGTGGTACTTCATGGGAGCCTCAGCCGGTCCCAACATTCCTTGCGGTTTGGTCCGTAAATCCATTTTGGCTCAAGCCTTTCTGGCGCAAGGCCCGTCTCCGCTGGACCCATTCGCTTGCACGGCCGACCGTTCGCCTGTGGGCCGCACGCGGCTCTGCCCCCTGTGCGCGCATGTCTGAGGCCGCGACGAAGACGAGCACGGCGGCGAGGGTGACTGTCTTGACCAGCCTCCCGATCTCCCTCGCGTGGCGCTCCGCTGGCTTCCGCTGGGCGCAAGACGACATGCCAGCCGAGTTCTCCCGCATCGCGCCGTTGCTGCTCGGCTCGCTGCTGCTCTGCGTTGTGCTGCTCGTCCTTCTCCTCGCGGTGCACGGCCGCGCGGAGGCCCGCAAGTTATGTAACAAGAGGTATGCCAGCGCCACCCTTCCCGGAGTCTTTTCCGCGTTGACCTTCGTACTAGAAATTGTTGACGCTTCGCGTATCCCCACCAGCCCATCCAGAAACGATGTTCAGGGGAGTTGAGGTGATCAGGGAAGTCGGGGAGCATGCAGAATAACAAAGGGCGGGGGAAGCTGTCACAGACCCCGAGAGGGGGAGGATGGAAGAGGAGTCGTCGTCGTCGTCGTCGTCGTCGGAGGAGGAGGAGGAGGAGGAGGGGGAAGAGGAGGAGGAGGAGGAGGAGGAGGAGGACGGAGAAGGAGGAAGAATCGGAGGAGGAGGAGGAGGAGGGGAAGGAGCTTCTTGGGGGTCTTTTGAGGGCCTCTTGGAGGGCTTTTTGGGCGCCTTGGGGCATCTTGGGCGCCTCTTGGGACCCTCTTGAGGCGCTCTGGGGAGCCTTCGGGGCGTTCTTGGGGCCATCTTGGAGGGAGTCGATCAAACAAGAGGGGAGCTCCAATTAGCCTCCCCCCTCGGGAGCCCCATAAATCGCCTCTCGGGCCCCTCTTGGAGCGCTCTTGGAGCGCTCTTGGGCGCTTTTGGGGCCGTCTTGGGGCTCTCTTGGGCCTCTCGTGGGGCCCTTTTGGGCCATCTTGGAGCCATATTGAGGCCTCGGATGTCCATCGGAAGCGAAAAGGCGAGAAAGCAAAAAACATTATTTTTCCTTAGGTTTTGGGACGATTTTGGCCTCGTCGGGGCCTCCTTAGGGAGCTCTTTGGCCACTTGGAGCCGTCTTGGGATCGTCTTGGGGCCTCTTGGAGCATCTTGGGAGCCATCGTGAGCGATCTTGCGCTATCTTGAGCCATCTTGGAGCTCATCTTGGGCTCTCTGAGGCGCTTTTGAAGCCATCTTTGGCCATCTTGGACGCTCCGACGCGCCGCGGCCCCCCCCCGTCCAGGTCCAGGGGAGGGGGTAGGGGGAGGGGTAAACCCCTCCCCAAGGGGGAAGAGGGAGGGGTGGAAGAGGATCTGCTCTAGACCACCTACGCCCAGAGGGCTGGTGGGACTTCGCGCTCGCGAACGGCCTCAGCGCGACCTTGGTGGTTCTGCTCAACAAGTGCGCGATTCTGCCGGGCGTCCTCGGGGAGATCTGGTTGACGCGGACCACGCCGTACCGCACGCAGCTCCTCACCATGACAGCTTTGCTCTTGTGCATCATCGTCTACTCTCTCGGTGACGAGGGCGAAATTAACATGTCGCTCGTCGGATTGCTCCTGGGCCTTGGCGCAGCCCTCTCAGATGGAGTCGGCGACATCGCCTTTGAAGCCACGGCGAAGTCCTGCCTCGACGACCTGGAGGAGGATTCGGGTACCGAGACGCTCAGGTGCTTCCTCGTGAACGAGTTGTACAAGTCCGTGTTCAACATCATACTGATGCTCGTGTTCGAGCACAAGTACTTGTCGCGAGGTCTTTTCCATGGCTGGGGCCTCCCCATGCTCGTCGGCGGTGTGATGCCGCTCCCCGTGATGGTCGCGCTTTACAACACGGCCATCTTAACGGCTGGCAACTTGAAGACCAGGATCGCTGCGTCCGCCGACATCGGCATTGCCTATGTGATGGATGCGATTCTATTTGATGACACCGTAAGGATCTCCCAGTGCCTATTGATCCTTGCCATCATCGCCCTGATCGGCGTCTACACCCAGTTCGCCGTTGACGTGCAGAAGGCCGCCGCAGACGCCCTCATCAGGTCGGAGAAGCCAGGCGCAGATGTTGCGTGTAGGGTGTGAGAAGTTTTCGCGGCCCCTCATCGGGGGAGCTCTGCGTCTCGGCCAAGGCTGGCGACCGCAGTAGTAGCAGTAGTGGTGCTGCCTACGGGCATCGCAACTCTTGGTGGTTACTTCGGAGGTGCAAGGGGTCATGATAATGATGCTTTCCAAGATTTCGAGAATGTCTAATTTTTCTTGATGTTCGTCGGGGACTTCAGAATCGAGGGCCGCTAGGTTCGCTGGAGATCCTGGAACGCATCCTGAACCAATCCTATCATGACAGCATCTTCCTCTTAGTTTTGGACTACCACCGCGGCTAGGGTTACCGGACCACCACCGCGGCTAGTCTTGACGTCATTGTTATTACGATTGCAGTCAGCACTACGACTACACGAGTGCAAGTATCGGGCCGCAGCGATACCAACCGTGGCCACTTCTTTATCTTTTTTTGGATGACGCTTCGAAGGCGGTGCTGTCGCTCGTCTTGAAGCTGCGGCCAAACCTGCTAATCTTGTCGTGGAAACGCTTGATGACGAGCTTGGCTCCTATTGCACACGTATTTTCCGACGATGTCCGTAGGGTGACTTGTCTCTTACGTGGAAGGTTCCCGATCCGCGTGCGCGTTGTTTCTATTGGCCTCCCGTTCTGGCGGCCAACTTGCAAATGCCAGGGATGGTGTGCAGCCATCGCCTGCGGTTCCTGTTGCTTCGGTCTAGTTTCAGAGAGCGTCTGCTGAGCTGGCTTGAGCTCGCCTGCGCTGTCTGGGATCTGTGCCCAGCCTTTTTGGTTGCCAACTTCGCAAATTATAACGTTTTAGATATTCGGCAAACATGACGTGGATGCAACACGCTGGGCGTGACCTTCTTGGCTGCAACAGACATGTGTGCATGTAGCGGTCGCTCTCGTGAGCCGAGGCGTTAGCGGCAGCAGGGTGCCGTTCTTTTGCCATCTTTCCGCCGCTACAGACGCAAGTGGGTGTTGCAATGTATGGTTTGCTAGACTCAGGCTGAGGTCATCTAGGCCGTTCGACAACTGTTCAGACGCTGTGCGCAAGACCTCATTATCTGTAACCCCGCTGAGCCAGTCGCGCGCACGTCTCTTCCAACTCCGTGTGTCCATTGGACGGTATTCGCAATTGCATATGGTTGGGTCCTTCGCCAGGCTAATCTTTGTTCCCGCGTGGGGTTCGGCCGGCTTCGAAATTACACTGCCGAGGAACCCCACATACTTATTCAATCGCTTCGCTCATTCCGCCGGCCCTGGAGCGCTTTTTGGGGCCTCTTGGGGCCGTCTTGGTGGCCTCTTGGGGGCCTCTTGGGAGCGTCTCGGGGCTCCTCGGCGGCGTCTTGGGATCCCCTGGGGCCTCTTAGGGGCCTCTTAGGGGGCTCTTGGGGGCCCCTTGGGGCGGGAGGGGGGGTAGTCGATTGCAGGCTCTGAAATCAAATGTGAGTTTGTTCCATCGCGCTGCCGCGCACATCCGCCAGGATCTTGCGTGGCATTGCGGAGGCTTGGGGCGGGGACTGCGGAGCTTTAGGGCGCGAGGTGGAGGAGGCGAGAAGGAGGAGGTGCCGTTTGGGAGGCCTTTGGGGATCATTTGAGAGGCCGTTCGGAGGCGCTTGGGAGCTTTCTGGGGCCTCCTGGGAGCTTCTTGGCGGCATCTTGGGCCTCTTGGGGGCCTCTCGGGGCGTCCTGGGGCCCTCTGTGGGCAGAAAGCTAAAGTTTTCGGTTCGTGGTCCCTCTCTTGGGCCCCTCTTGGGGCCGTCTTGGGGCTCTCTTGGGCCGTCTTGGTGCCTCTTGGGCCGTCTCGGGGCCTTCTTGGGCCGTCTTGGGGCCTTCTTGGAGGCCTCTTGGGCCGTCTTGGGGCGCTCTTGGGGGGCCTCTTGGGCAGTCTTGGAGCGTCGGAAAGGCGAAAAGGCGAGGAAGCCAAAAACCTTCAAACAGCTAAGATAATCACTGATTTTTGTATATTGGGGCTCCGTTTTGGAGCGTCTTGGGGTCTCTTTCGGGCCTCTTGGCGCCTCTTGGGGCCTCTTGGGGGCCTCTTGGGGCGTCTTGGATGCCTCTTGGAGCGGAAGGCTCGAATTTTCGGTTCGTGGTCTCCATCTTGGGCTCCTCTTGGGGCCCTCTTGTGCCGTCTTGGGCGCCTTTTGGGCTGCCTGGAAGCTCTCTCGGGCGGTCTTGGGGCTCTCTTGGGGGCCTCTTGGGCCGTCTTGGGGCGCTCTTGGGGGCTTCTTGGGGGCCTCTTGGGCCGTCTTGGAGTGTCGGAAGCGCGAAAAGGCGAGGAAGCCAACAACCGTCAGAAACCTAATGGAAATCACTGAATTACCTAACAGCGAAGACTGATAGGTTTCTAGTGGGATCAAAAGAGAGCAGCAGATCACTCCACAGGGGGGTCCGGGCAGGTGTTGGGGCGTTTCCGGGCGGCATGAGCCGGGCTCGTTTTTCACCAACAGTCACACACTTCGTGCTCTTCGCCTTCCCAGAACTCCATTCCCAGGCCACATTCTGGGGGGCCGGATGCAACTGTAGGCCACTTCGTGCTCTTCGACATCCCAGAACGCCATTCCCGGGCCACATTCTGGGGGGCCGGATGCAACTGTAGGCCACTTCGTGCTCTTCGACATCCCAGAACGCCATTCCCGGGCCACATTCTGGATGCCCGGAGCCAACTGTAGGCCACTTCGTGTTCTTCCATTTCCCAGAACTCCATTCCCGGGCCACATTTTGGATGCCCGGAGCCAACTGTAAGCCACTTCGTGCTCTTCGAGTTCCCAGAACTCCATTCCTGGGCTACATTTTGGATGCCCAGAGCCAACTCTAGTCCACTTCCTGGTCTTCGAGTTCCCAGAACTCCATTGCCGGGCAACATTTTGAATAGCCAGACGCTTCATATTCCTTCCGCCACAGCTGTGTTTGGTTCAGGACTTGCTAGTGACACTGCAGTCCTCTGCATTCAATTGGCCACTACATTCATTCACTGCAGTCCACTGAGTTTTGATTGCAATGGCGTTCCCCTGGCCGTACCCCCATGTCCAACGTTCATCCGCAGCCTCTGCTCCGCGAGGCTCGTCCGAAGTGTCGCCGCCTCGCGGTGCTTCTCAGCCTGCGCCGCCTCGCGGTGCTTCTCAGCCTGCGGAGGAAGGTGGACAGACGCCTGGTTCTGGCGCTGTGCAGCCTGCGTCTTTCACGGTCGCCTCGTTCAATTTCGGGTTCGAGCAGGGCATGATGACTGGTAAGCAGGCGGCCACTCACTGCGCTAACTTCGGAAGGTTGTGCGCCAAGATAGTGGAGACCGCTGATGCTGATATGGTCTGTGGCTGCGAGGTCGGTGCGTTCCGTGAAGGCTTTCGCCGAGCAGGGATCAACGTGACAGAGATCCTCAGTAAGCCTTTCGGTGATGGCATTCGCTTCTTGGAGGTCGACAACTACTTGACTCTCTGGGGGTTCCGCGGTGCTTCTCAGCCTGCGGAACTGACTCTGTGCGAAGACAGCAAAGTTTACAGGCCTCCTAGCGGCCGAGATATTGATGCTGTTATTTCACATTTTGAGGTGAACAAACCAGGCCATGACAAGTTCCACGTGGTGATCGCCAACATGCACATCGTGTGCGGCAAGAAACCGCCGAGCATCCAGACTCGAAAGCGGACAGTTCGCCATCTCCGCTTGCACCTGGACGGCCTGGCCAAGATTCTTGAGAATCTAAACGAGGCAGTCGTTGTGCTTGTAGTCGGCGACGACAACCTCACTTTCCAGGAGGCGCGGGAGGCTTACCAGCGCGAGCAGAACGACGAGAAGGTATGGGAGGTCCATGCCACTCCGGCCGACCTCAAAGGCGACCACGTCGCGGTCTGCGGAGCAGTCGCCCGTTTCTGCTCCATTGCCGTTGGCGCGTCTTTTACGGATCGTGGCATGCGCAACGACGCACACGATGCGGTGGCGGTTGTGCTCACTCTCCCTGGTGCTATTCAGCCTGGGGAGAGCAAGAGGCGGAAAATTGTCGTCGAAAACGTCTCCGACGCCGACGTCAGCGTACAGGCGGACCGCGAGTCTTCTGTGCATTGGGATCGGTCGCCGAGTTCTGCTCCTCCGCTTTCGCCGACTTCACCGGGTGATCCCGACTACGTCGAGGATGTCGTTCAGAATCGCGCGGACGACTTGCACAGGGAGCTGAGGCAGCTTTGGGACGACAGGTACGACGAGGAGTACGATCCGAAAGTCCTCCATCATCTCAGTCTCTTGCTTTTCAAAAAGAGGAAGTCCACGGAGCCAGCGGACACTGATCCAGCTGGCGCTCCTCAGCCTGGCTCGGAATATGACGCGGCCTTTGCGTCTCAGGAGGAGACTGGCCGAGCCATTCTCTCTGTCCTTAAGCTTCGACATGACTTTCTGCGGAGCAAGAACATCGACGACATGCGCTACGTTCTCACGGAGCCTGAGCGCCAGGAATTGGTCAGAGTAGCTCGCGACCAGTACGAGCAGTCGCGGCAGCAGCGTGCGCTTCAGGAACGGGATATCGAAAAGGGAAAAGCGAAAGGCAAGTCTGCGCCACAAGGGGGCCATGCGGTTCCGCAGGGTCCGAACAAAGGGCCAGGCGGTAAGAAAGGTTCTCACGGTGCTTCTCAGCCTGCGGGAAAAGGTGGCCAGGCCAAGGGTGCAGGTCTGGGTAGCGTCGCCAAGTTTGTGAAAGACCAGAAGCGTAAGCGGTGGCATCGCCATTTGCAACGTGTGGCCGGTACCAAACAGATCTGGGAGGTGCTGGCCTTCTCAGGGCGCTTCGACGTTGATTGGTTAACGCAAGCGTTGCAAGCTGATCACAGCGAGGGCCGTGATGCAGCAGTTCCCGAGGAAGCTCTGCGGCAACAGCGGCGCCGGCTGCACCACCAGAAGGCCGAGGCCATCGCGCGCTACAACGAGGGGGAGCGGCTTTCCCTCCATCTGTCTGCCCAGGCTGGCCAGGCAAAGCCGAACTTCACGCGCAGGCAGCTGGACGTGTTGCAGATGTTTGAGAGCGGAGCGCTGCTTCAAATCCGCAACCAAGCGATTCTGGCGTGCGGGCACGGCCGTCTGTTCAGGGGCGATGGCGACTACCTGGACATCGGCGGCAGCACGGGCGGTGGCTCCAGGCGCATCATCGATTCTTGGCAGCCGCCGGACTGGCGTGACTTCCTCCAAGACGATCAGGACATCTGAGTTTTGCAAGTCTCTCTGCCCGCGGTGCTTCTCAGCCTGCGGTCTGCCGCTCTCCAGCTGCGGTCTCGAGCAGTAGTGTTCGAAAGCATGCGAGTTCCTGCGGTGCTTCTCAGCCTGCAGGTTTCGCAGCCTGCGCTCTGCAGTACAAGTGCTTTTCAGCATGCGACATCCTGCGGTGCTTCTCAGCCTGCAGGGTTCGCAACGTGCGGTTTGCAATGCATTCCTTTTCAGTATGCGAGTTCCTGCGGTGTTTCTCAGGCTGCAGGGCTCCGAGGCTCTTCGCTTCGATGCCAATGTTTTCAGACACCGTAGCTCCGTTCCGTAAACGTCTTCCAAGAGCCGCTCGCAACCTTTTGCAGCTGGCTGTCTGCACGCTTCGCCGGCTTTTGCTGCGCGGACAATTTTCTCACACACGTCAGCGCCGTTTGTAGGCGTCAGAAAAACATGTAGACATTCACGAAGGGCTCAGTCTGTATATCGTCACATCATTACATACGCAGTCGTCGAACACATCGGTGTACATTCAGCGCTTTGTCCTTCTACAGCATTCTTTCCGTTGATAACAGTGTTCTGATGGGTTCGCTTCGTTCTAAAAGCGTTGATAGCAGTGTCTCGTTTGCGGACAACTCATTCTATATCAACTCACTGATACCGAGTTTCCTTTCACCATAAGTGAATGCATACCAGTGTATGTTGGTTACTACAAAAGTGGGTTCCTACAACCGACTTCATGATCGCTATCATCATCGCAGATTTCACTCATCCTCATCACCACGACTGGTTCACGTTGGCCTGCGGTGCTTCTCAGCCTGCAGTTCCTTTCGTTACACTGTAGTTGAAGCCGTTCATGGCAGTGACTCGTTTAAAGACAACTTTAGTATTGGGGGAAGTGTCGATAGCAGCGTTTCTTTTTTACTTATGCAAGCGTTGATAGC